GGACCCTTGACCCGGACCAAAGCCGGCGCCTCTGGACCCCGCCTTCCCTGACCCCGCCCCGCCCCCCGGTCCTGGACCCCTGATCCCAGCCCCGCCCTCTGGACCTGGACTCGAGCCCCCGCCTCTCCATCCGGACCTCGACTCTCCGGACCCCGAACCCCGGGCTCAGGCCTGGCCAGCCCTACGGGGCGGTCGGCGAAGGGCGCGCGGACCCGGCCCTGCCTTAGAGATAAAGTGCAGCTGGGGAGGCTCCCTCAGGATGCGGGACGGGGAACAACGTGCCATTCCCACTCACGGGACCTACGTTCCAAGTATTCCATTGGTCTTCTGAGATGACACGTGGACATCTTTTCTCTTGTCAAGCTGGACTTGGTATCTTTCAGCATAATCGCCACAACTATTAAGATTCCAGAAAGTGATCAGAATACCCCAGGTGTGTTTACCACCAGCTTGGACATACCCAGAAAGGCTGAGTATTTACAGGTGGTGTTTGCCAGGAAATGAGGCTGGGAGCCGAGCCTTCCTTTGTGGCTTGGTTCTTTGGCCCAGAGTTAAGTGAGGACCAAAAGCGAGGGCTAAGTATTTGCGAAGTCCAAACTAAAATCATATCTCCGGTCTGAAAGATGAACGTTATCCTGCTACCCCCACAAAATAGTATTCGAGAAAATTAGCTCAAGCCCAGGAGGTAATTTCAGGCGTTAGAATTAAATTAACACCACTCCTGCCTCCTACTCTCAGCCTGCGTTTCAGGCTTGAAGAGTAGTCGGTGGTAAGTGTTCTTCAGTTTTGGAGGAGCCCAGCGCAGGAACTGATCCCTGAGGACAAGGGTAGACTTGAGTGGTGCTGGAGAGGAAGAAGAGACCATCAGCACCCCTTTTCTGACACCTGCATTTACCATACAACCCCATAACCATACCTGGATGCTCAGGAGGTGCAGATTAAACGGCTCCGTTGGTCCTTTGTAAATCTCACAGTGAATGAATACATTGGAATCCTATTTTGCAAATCTGTTTCCTTTGTGTTAGAATAAAAAATTAGCTCTCAGGCTCTGGAGACAGCTTAGTGATCTGAGAAGAGTTTAAAACCTGGAAGGCTGAAGAGGGACCCTCAGTAAAGCTAGGGAAAGAGCAGCTGTGAGTAGAAAAGGGAATTCACCATAAATCACCTGTGTGTTTGTTTTCTGTGTTATTTTGCCAAACTGAATTCTCAAAGGAAATAAATCTAGAAGTTCTGATTGATTGCATTGTTTTTAAAATTGAGAATGAGGACCTATTAATAGTTCATGACATTAATTCAAAGGATGGGAGCTGAATTTTGCAGAGATGAAATAGAAGTCTTGTTTAATCGTATTCATTAAACAGCATTGGGCCCTTTTTCTGACAAACTGGACAGGTGTACACATTATCGGACTGTCTGATCTAAGCCCCAGAAAAGCTGCCTGCCTGTCTCTCAGAGTCAGCTTTTGATGAGTTACAAGTGTTAGCGTGCTATCAGTGGGTGAACTGGTGCTGGAGTCACAGAGTCACCCGAAGACATGTTGTCCCCATACTGCCTGTTTTGCACAGTTGTTTTTGGACACAAATTTATGTATTTGATGTTTTTCAAACAGCCGAATGGTGTGTTATGACCTGTCATGCTCCTCGGCCAGCGCATTTCACTCCCAATTCTTGTGATTGAAAGCAAATGTTACACGCCCCCAAGGTTGCCTCTAGGGAACCTTTGTTTCATTTAATGGGACTTCCCAGAACACACTTTGTCACAGAGCCAGTCTTAGAAAACTCTTTGGGGAATGATAACCATTTCTGTTTGCAAGCCCCCCCCATCTCGGTAGGAGGGCTGCTCTGCCTGCCCAGAGCTATCTGTCCTTGGCCCTACCTTCCTGCTTTGTGTCTGTCCCTGGGATGTGCTGTGTATGGGCCACCTGAGCAGGTGATGCAGCCGTCTTAGGTCCTCCTCCATCCTTGGGGTCATTCTCTGCCGAGAACTGAACTGGCTTCCCCCCCACTGCCCACAGAAGGTTTCAGGCAGGACTCCATTGTTAATTCTCACTGTACTCCGGGTCCTTACCCGGTTTCATCTTCACTTCTCATCTGTTGCCTGTCTGCTTACGACCCCCAGGTCTCTGCGTAGGGGTTGTACATCCACCTGCTGTACTGAGCCGCTTACATATGCCCCCAAACTCAAAACGGATTCAGTCATCATTCCCTTCGGAATCCTACTTGCCTGTTTATTTTCTCTTCTAAAGGCACAACTAATTCAGAGATTTTTTTCCCCAAGAGTGGTCCTTGACTCTTCACGTCTCCCCATCCAGGCGATCACCAGGTCCTACCTGCTTTCCCTGTGTCTCAGCTCTGTCTTCCTCTGCTATCATCATTGTTCTAGTTTGTTATCATTTCTCCCCCCACGGAGAGCAGGGCTCATTGATAGAAATACAAATGACAGGGACTTAGTCTGGACCAAAGCCCTCTGCTAAGTGCTGTGGATACCTTGTTCACACTTGGTGCGTGACATTTATTCTGACAAAAATCTTCCTCATTTCCTTGGAGGGGTGAAGTTATAACCCGTCCTTAAAGCCTCAGCCCCCATGCTCCCTCCTCTGGGAAGCCCTCTGTGACTGCTCACTTTCCTCATTGTTTCTTCTGCAGGCCGGGCTGGATACCACCACCTTGGTGCTCCCATAACATCCAAAGCATGTCTGTATGTTTGCCCTTTCTTACTGTATGGTTTTGTGTTCGTGAGGGCTTTTATAATGGCAGCGTGTGAGGTCTTTAAGGGTGAAGGTCTATCTTAATTATCTTTGTGTTCCTAGCAGCACAAGGACACAGGAAATGCTTAAAAAAGAGAGAGAGAAATGCTTGTTGAAATGAACGGATGAATGAGTAAGGGCAACCCACATCTGAGTCGCACAGTAAAGAAATGATACGAATGCACCTCCCCCCCAATATTTTATGGTTAAGAATCAGCTTTGGGTTTTGTTAACACATCAGTTGATCTCAGTCTATTGTTTTCTGAGACACAATATACTAGGATAACAAGGTAAGCGTGATTTTATTTAGCAATCTATTTAGTAAGTTCCCCCCCAAACAGTCATTGAATTAATAGTAAGTGCAGTGTACGGGCTGCATTTCAAATGAAGTCAGTTTATGTTGACAGCGAAGTACAGCCTTGTTAACCCTGAACAATCACTCCAATTATAAACTCCATGCACCGTCACTGTCACAGAAAATATCCAGACTAATGACTTCTGGCCCCTTTGTTATGCAAGTATTCGAGAGGAAACCCACTCTTACGTATATTCACTATTAACTGTATTTCCCAGAAAGGACACTGCCAGAAAGCTACCAAGAATGTAATTCCATTTGTGCCTTCTTACAATACATGGATTAGTATCGTGCTTTCAAAATTATTCGGGCAGCCCTGTTTTGTAGGATTTCCCACATACCAACACAGGGGCACAGAGATCTCGGCTAAGGCAGTAAATACAACATACAAATCAGAGCCTTGTTCTCTGCACTCGCTGCTGCCTGAGGGAGAAAGCACATCCACTGTTCCATGACGGAATGAAAGGCACACTGACTTTCAGGTCAAATACCCGTGACATGGACGCGTCTGACTAGTCGGCTGAGTACCATCCATGTTAATATCTTCCCAGCGGTGGGCACGGGGCTGCGCCTCAGTGATCAGCACAGCACAAGCCTTTAGGTCTCCTGCAGGTGTAAACTCGATGCACCTGTGGAACCCTGTGGACTGTGGATCGGATCTTGACGTGCAGTCTAACGGCACTGCTGCTGTGTGAAAGGCCGTGTTTGTATAATGCTGTATGGATGTCATCACCACGATTGCTCTATCTGACGGTGTCTCTGGATGGCACATTTTAGATAGCATTGTTGTGAGCTAACCCTGTTTGCACCACATCTTGGGACCAAGGGTACCCAAAAAAGCAAAGCATCATGACTGAGCATTGCAAAATCACAGCACTCTCTCCATAGCAGGATTTTTACATAGCGGCACATTTGGAACACGCTTGGGTGGGGTCATTCACCCACGAGTCTAATCTCCATGAGAGTAGAAACATATATACTCTGCCTGACATTTTATTCTGCCATCGAGAACAGTGCCCACCTCATAACCCAGTGAATAAATAAATCCTTCAGTGGTAGCAGGGCATGTGGAAAAATCAGTGTGTGTGAAGGCACACAGACCTGCAATGGAACCTTACCCTATCCCCATTCTAGTTCTGTGACACTGAGGTGGTTGAAATTCTCTAAGCCTGGGTTTCCTACTCTGGAATGTGAATAATGTCTCAGAGCTGAGTTCTTGTGAACCTTAAATGAGATGCTGTAAT